TAAGAACCATTCGGTCCATCTAGTCTGCACAATTTTCTAAATACGTTCATAAGTCCCTGGCCTTATCTTATAGTTAGGATAGCCTTATGCCTATCCCACGCATGCTTAAACTCCTTTACTGTGTTAACCTCTACCACGTCAGCTAGAAGGCTATTCCATGCATCCACTATCCTCTCATGAAAGTAATACTTCCAGATATTATTTTTAAACATTTGCCCCTCTAATTTAAGACTATGTCCTCTTGTTGTGGTAGTTTTTCTTCTTTTAAATATTGTCTCCGCCTTTACTGTGCTGATTCACTTTATGTATTTAAATGTTTCTATCATATCCCCCCGTCTCGTCTTTCCTCCAAACTAGACATGTTAAGATCCGTTAACCTTGCTTTGTAAGTTTTATCCTGCAATCCATGAACCAGTTTAGTAGAACTCTCTCTAAAGTATCAACATCCTTCTAGAGATACGGTCTCCAGTACTGCATACAATACTACAAATGAGGTATCACTAGTGTTCTGTAGAATGGCATGAGCACTTCCCTCTTTCTACTGCTAATATCTCTTCCTATACAACCAATCATTCTGCTAGCATTTCATACTACTCTATTACATTGTCTACATACCTTTAAGTTATCTGAAATAATCACCCCTAAATTCCTTTCCCCGGATGTTGAGGTTAGGACTATATCAAATATTCTGTACTCTGCCATTGGGTTTTTACGTCCAAGATGCATTATCTTATCCACATTAAATTTGAGCTGCCACAACTTTGACCATTTTTCTAGTTTACCTAAATCATCTGTCATTTTGATTATCCCCTGGAACATCAACCCTGTTACATATCTTATTATCATCAGCAAAAAGACAAACCTTACCATCAAGACCTTCTGCAATATCACTAAAAAAAGTATTAAAAAGAATGGGTCCAAGTACAGATCCCGGAGGTACCCCACTGGTGACCATGCTTTGAATATACTCCATTGACTACAACCCTCTGTTGCCTGTCACTCAGTCACTGCCTTACCCATTCAAGAATATTGGAATCCAAACTTAAAAATTGCAGTTTATTGATAAGCCTTCTATGTGCAACAGTGTCAAAAGCCTTACTGAAATCTAGGGAAGCAATGTCTACTGCACCACCCTGATCTATTATTTTAGTTACTCAATCAAAAATAAATGAGATTAATTTGGCATGATCTCCGTGAAGTAAACCCATGTTGATTTTATATGTTCAACATCTTTAACATGATTTCCATTACTTTCCCCATTACTACCTTTCTTGTGAATGGGCACAACATCCGCTAACTTCCAATCTTCTGTGACTACTCCTGTTAACAATGATTGGTTAAATAAATCTGTTAATGGTTATGCTAGTACACCACTAAGCTCTTTTATTAACTTTGGGTGTATTCCATCATTGACTTATTTGTCTTTACTTTTGACAGTTGAAATAGAACCTCTTCCTCTGTAAACTCACATGTAACAAATCAATAATTTGTCCTTTTTCATAACTGAGGTCCGTTTCCTTCATTTCCATCTGTAAACACTGAACAACACTTATATTTTGAGGTAGTCAGCTAGACCTTTATCCTCTTCTACATACATTCCTTCTTTTGTTTTTTTGACAATTTTTATTTTCAGTAAGAATTTTAAGGGGGGTACAGAAAGGAAGAAGGGTGGGGGGAAGCAAAATCAGTTTTTGTTTTATTCCATTACATTTTCCAAGTAAGTCTTACATATATTACACTTTTTATAGACATTACTTGTGGCACAGGTTTGGGGCTGGTAGGTAGGCTCATTCCTTAAGTTGTTAAATTGGGTGGTTCTTATGTCTGTGGTTGTGTGCTTACCCTCTGTTGTGGTCTGTTAGTGTGTTTCCTATGTCTGCTTGGGGTTGCTTGCATAATTTCTGTTACTAGGTGGTTGTTTCTGCTTGAGTATGCGACTTTTAGTGCCACTCATTTTACTCCTGCCTTACTAGTTATTGGTGGGCTCTTACTTTCTTGTCTCTCGTGTCTGATGTTCTCTTAGCCTCTGTGTGGTTCTGAGTGTAGTAGTTCTGTATGGTGTCTGTTTGACGAATGCATATTTGATTTTACTGTTTCGTATTCTGTGTCTGTGGTGTAGTGGGGTTTGTAATTATTGGTTTGGGGTGTTAATTGATTCACTATTTTAATTCGGTTTGGTTCTTCTGTACTTTGTCCAGAAGTCCTTCCACATCAGGTTTGCTTTGGTGATGATTTTCCTTTCTCCGTACTGGTTCATGTATCCTTACCTTTTTGTCTCATTATACCCCACTCCCTCTACCATGTAAGCTCATTGAGCAGGGCCCTCAACCCCTCTATTCCTGTGTCCAACATGTCTGGTTGCAACTACATGTCTGTTCGTCCACCTATTGTAAAGCACTGCGGAATTTGACGGCGCTCTATAAATATCATCATAATAATCATAATAATAGTTTTGTATTGCCAGTTGGTGTTAATTTGGTTGATGAGGCTATTGACTTGTGGTTGGGTTGTTGTCTTCCAAAGCCTAGGTATCACCATTGCTGCTGATATGAGTATGTGGTATGAAGTTGCCCATTGTACTTTATTCATGTGTTCCGGAGGTATGAACAGTATGCACATATCTACGTTGAGCTTTATTTCACTTCTTAAAACTTGTTCTATGATGTCCTGGACTTTCCTCCAGAAGGGCTGTGCAATGGGGCATATCCACCAGGTGTGAAGCATTGTTCCCACCTGTTTATTGCATCTCCAACATGTGTTTGTGGAGGTGTTTGGCCATATTTTGTGTATTTTATCTGGGACTAGGTACCAACGATATAGCAACTTCCTTTGTAGTTCCAAATGGTTCATGCATTAGGTAACACCTTTGTGAGATTTGTTCACTTCCAGCCATTGTTCTTCTTCAATGGTACGATTCAGTTCTTTGTGCCATGCTTGTTTATAATTGTTTTTGTCTTTTGGTTTGCTTGAGGTCAGACGTCGGTAGCATATTGAGATCACTTTTCCAGGTGGTGTTGTGTTCGTGCATATTTTCTCAAATTGAGATAACATGTTTGGTTGATTTTCATCGTGGGTGGTTGGTTTCGAGCTTAAAATGCATGATTTGATTTGTAGGTAGGTGAATAGCATTCGGCTTGGTAGGTGGTATTTAGTTTGCAACTCTGGGAATGTTAACAGTTCTCCTTCTTCGTAAAGGTGTACAATATATTTCACGCCATGTGATAGCCAAGTGCTTCTAGGGGAGTAGCTAATGGGATTGGTTGGTAGTTTGTCATTTCGTGTTTGAGCAAGTCCCAGATGTCTAGCACAAATTGGGTCGTGGGCAGTAAGTGGAGTGTTTGTGGTCTCCATTTTAGTAGGTTTGCAGCTCCATTGGCTTCTATCATAATTTATTGGGGTTGGTTGTTCGTTGATGTTGTTTGTGAGACAGTGTTGAGAATAGCTGCCTGATAGTAGGCTTGAATATCTGGGAATCACAGTCCACCCTATGTGATGTTCTTCTGCTGGATTCTGGTGGCTACTCTGATCTTTTTGTTGTGCCATGTAAACTTCAGGAACAGATTTTGAAACTCGGTGAGGAAGTTTTTAGGTAGCGCAATCTGTAAGGTTCTGAAAAGGTACTGCAGCTCGAGCAAGAGTGTCATCTATTCAAATTGTTTTGGGTGCTAAAAAGTACATTTGGGGTGTGCACTTCATATCTGAGAGTCAAATTGAACCGTCAAACACTGTGCTTACAGCACACTTTGAAAAATTCAAATTGTTTTGTGTGATAAAAAGTAACTTCAGATCTGACAGTCAAATAGAACCGTCAAATACTGTGGTTACAGCTCAGTTTAACCAATTCAAATTTTTTTGGGTGCTAAATAGTACATTTGTGGCCTGCACTTCATATCTGACAGTCAAATAGAACCATCAAATACCAATATTGTAATTCGGGGGCAATACCCTCATAAGTCAAACTGGGAGGTCAGTTTATAGGGAAAACAATTCCCATATGCCTTTTGCAGAGTTTACATTCTGGGAAAACATAGGTGCCAACTGCTGTGGCTTTCTGCAGTGTGCAGACCGGCAAGCACAGGGTTGAGGAGTGGGTGGAAGATGATGTGGAGGAAGATGAGGTCCTAGACCCCACATGGAATCAAGGTCATGCAAGTGACGTGTGCAGTTTGGAGGAAGAGGTGCTGGTCACACAGAGGCACCAGCACAGCATAAGAGGGAGGTGCAAAAGCGAAGCGGCCGTCCCCTAGAGCTCGTCGGCATGTATTATCTTTAGAATTCCCACAGTTATCCAAGTAACAGTTGGAGCGATAAAAAGAACCATAACAGATTTAACGAGCCATTCGCAGTTTCACAGTCCAGTGA